GAGCCCCCCCACAGCGGCAGGGAGAGGTGACAGGGGCAGTGTCCCTCCTGCCGGGGCTCTTTGGGATCCTGCACGATTTACCCAGGTAGGAATCACACCAACCAACTAATTGGGATCCAGCAATTGCCCTGCGGGCAGCCTGCTGCTGTCGGACTGCTTGTCTCTTTTCCTTTAATTAAAAGTGGCCTTCTGTAACAAAAGACTAAAAGAAACAAAAAAAAAAAGCAAACAACAAAACAAACGTAAAATGCCTTTGAGTGGTGTAGGTGGAGGTGAGAGTATTGCTGCTGTGTCGGTGTCGGTGTGGTTGTCCGTATGCACGCCTCTGTAGCCGTATAGACATTCAATGCAAGACTTTATCGTGTCTCCGAGTTTTGTACGTAGCCTGTGTCTCCTTCGGACTGGTTTGCATCCTGAGTGAATTTTTTTGCATTTAAAAAAAAAAAAAATACAAACTAAGGTGTGAGAATGGCGGTGGGCAGGGGGAGGAGGCGGCATTTGCCCGGTGTGAGGACGCGGTGGGTGGTTTTTGGGGTGGTTTTTGGCCCCGTTGCTTTCTGTGATGTGTGTGGAAGTGTCCCCAGTGGGGGGACACCCCTCGGCCCTGCTCACCTGTAGGCACTTGATTAATCTTAATTAGCCACGGGGGCCGGCTGCTGGGGCTGGCGTGGGGGGAGCCCAGGGGAGGCTCCTCTTAGACTCTGTGTTTTGTCTTGAGTTGTTCATTTCAATCTTACTTTAATTCAAAAATATATTGGAATGAGGAAGACTCTCAGAGTTCTGGTCTGTTTTCCCTCCCTTGCTATCATTTTGAACAGTTTAAAATTGGTTTTAACACTGTTTTTAGACTATTTTCCTCCTTAGTGGAACGTGGGTTGTTAGGGACAGGAGTTTGGCGTTGGGGGCAGTGGGCTGTGGGTCGGGTCAGTCTCCTCTGTTATAATGAGCTTCACAATAATCACCCAGAATGTGACTCGTGGATCTTTGGGCAGGAGCTCGGGGCTGTGTCTGGCTCTTCCCAGGGCGAGTGGCCAGGATCCCCCCCGTCGGGAGCGGGGTTTTGGGGTGCAGCCAAGAGGAGGGTTTAGTCCCTGCTCCGGGGGGTTGGGGCTGTTCTGTGCTGGGGATTTATACCCCCCCTGACCGTGGGGTGCCCTTTGCTCCTGCGGTGGGATCCCACGGCTCTGCTCCCCGTCAGGATCGCGCCCGTTAATTCACACCCTGCTTTGGCTGAGAAAATGCCTTTGAGTGTGAGGAGCCGGGGGGGGGAACACAGGGCCCCCCACGGCTCCCAGAGGGGCAGGTTGGGCTGTGTCTGCTCCAGTTCCAGGGAAACACCCCAGTCCCATCCTGAGCCCCCCCACCCCAGGGCTGACGCCTCCGGAGGAGGAATCCCGGTACGAATGCCTTAGGATTTGCCTTAACAATCTGAGCCAAAAGAGTGATTCCTGACGGAGAAATCGCAGCCACCAGCCATTGATTTGTGTCTGGTCGAGCACCAGCCTGGGCTTCACCGGGTGAGGGGCCGTGGGGGGAGCAGGGTCCCCCCTGCGCCTCGCACCCCCGTAACCACCCCCCGGCCACGAGCATTTGCCTTTCCCCTCCCTGCACTCTGTGCATTAGGAATGTGTCTGAAAATACTGATTGTCAGCCCAGAGTCGGTGCCAAGTCAAAGCCCCCTTTGCCCCCCCCCACATCACAGGAAAGCCCCTGCCGCGGCACGCGCTCACGCTGGGCAAATGCAGTCTGTTTACAGTGAGGACGTGTCACTGTGTTACCAATTTACTGAAATACTAAATATTGAAAAACCTAGACTGTAAAGATTTTTATGTGTTTGGATACATCTGCTATGTGAAAAAAAAAAACAACTAATTTTGTACATATTGTATTTTTACTATTCAGCTGTACTATAGCGGCTCTTCATGCTCCAGAAATTAGGTATCCAACATGAATAATATCCATGTAATAAGCACTTGCCTGAAATAAATATAAAACTGAAATAAACATGCACTGAAATCTGAAACGGGGCTCTGCATTTTCTTCCTTGTGCTTTGGCTGCAGCTGCTTCTCTCCACGTGTCGTTTCCCAGGGAGGAGAGCAAGGCCCCGGGGGTGTCACTGATCATCACCCCCAGGTGTGTGTCACTGATCCCTCCCAGGTGTGTGTCATTAATCACCCCCCAGGTGTCCCTGATCAGCGGGGCTGGCCCTGCCCCAGCCCGGAGCCGGTGATGCGGCGCTGGGGAAAAGCGAGGATTTTGCCCCAATCCCCAGAATTTGGGACAGCTTGGGAAACAGCGCCCCGGATTCGGTCGCCTCCACCCCGCACCCCCCCCCGGAGCCTGGCGGGGGGGGGGGGGGGGGGGGATCGGCACCGAGCACGGGCCGGTCCCCGGCGGCCGGAGGGTGCGGGTCCCGGGGCGTTCCCGGTCGCAGAGGGGGACGGAGGGGCTCGGGGTGGCTCGGCGGCCGCCGGGGGGGGATTCGGGGGTGTCTGGCTTCCCCCAGTGCCCAGGTCATGGTGGGGGCTCGGAGGGGACCTTTTAGTTGCAAAGTGGCAGAACCTGGGCTTGGCAGGAGCAAAAAACCCGTTAATTGTTGCCGGGTGCGGGTTTGGTGAAGTTGTTACAAGTGTCTGAATTGCAGCAAGTGTTGGGCTGAGCACAGGGGGAAAATATCCCACCCCCCAAAAAATAGCCCCCAGAGGGTGAGTGTCCCAGCCCGTTGGAAGGCAAACACCCCCCCCCTCCGGCGCTGGGGGGTTCACGGCTGGTTTTCTGGTGTCCAGAAGTATTAAAAAAGAATAAATGTGGCAGGGAAATATTTCCTACGAATGTGCTTGGCTTTGGCTGGGGGGGGGTGGGGACCAGGCTGCTCCTAGAGCCAGCTCAGCCCCTTGTCTGGGGGGGCTGTTGGAGTTCAGAGCGTCGTCAGGCAGAAATCACTGTGACGCCTTTGAGGATCCCCCCCCAACCCCCAAAATGTCAGCTTGCTGAGGCTCTTTTTTGACCTATTTCTGGGGAGGGGGTGGGGGAACTCCTTCGTACACCCGGAGGCTGGGGGAAGCAGCCGTCCCCCCCAGGGCTGCCAGCACAGGGTGTCCCCCGGCCCGGGTCAGGGATGCTGGGGTGACACTGCCCCAGGAGAGAACCCCCAGCCCAGAGGGAAAGGGAAAACGCTGGGTGGGAGCTGGCCCCAGGGGGTGGGGGTTTGGGAAACCTCGGGGGGGTGAATCGTGTCCTTCCAAACTCTGCTGCTCGCGCCTTCGAGGATCCCCCCCCAACCCCCAAAATGTCAGCTTGCTCAGAGGCTCTTTTTTTGACCTATTTCTGGGGAGGGGGTGGGGGAACTCCTTCGTACAGACGCTGCCCCAGGAGAGAACCCCCAGCCTGGTGGGGAGGGAAAATGCTGGGCGGGAGCTGGCCCCAGGGGGGTGGGGGTTTGGGAAATCTTGGGGGGGTGAATCGTGTCCTTCCAAACCCTGTGCTGCTCACGTGTGGCTGTGGGGTTGGCTTTTTGGGTTTATTATTTGGGAAACTGAAAAGCTTGTCTAGGTGAGCTTCTGAGCATGGAAAGCAGATGTTGGACTAATGGATAGGATACTGGACGTGTGGGACTGAGCTGTGTGGGGCAAAGTCACTGTTTGTGGAGAAAGTGGAGAAAGCGGCCAGCGCTGGCTCCAGGTCCCGGGAAAGGGGCAGGAAACGGGGGAGGTTGGTTGGGTTTTCTCCTACTGAGCTGTGTGGGGCAAAGTCACTGTTTGTGGAGAAAGTGGAGAAAGCGGCCAGCGCTGGCTCCAGGTCCTGGGAAAGGGGCAGGAAACGGGGGAGGTTGGTTGGGTTTTCTCCTGGTGGTGGGGAGCAGGCTTCCACGGTGACGAAACGTCATTGGGATGCTGCATCTTGCTGAAATCAGCTCCTGTTTCTGTGGTGGCTCTGCAGCTTTGGGGGAATAACTGTCTAAGGAGCTACTTTACAAGTTTCTGAGAATCTGCAGAGAATTTACAAGTTTCTGAGAATTTACAGAGAGTGCTGAGGAGGGTGTGTGTCTGTGTGTCCGTGGTGGGTGGGTGTGTGTGTGTCCGTGGTGGACTGACAGAAGGTCCTGCAGCAAAGGCAGCCCCTGTGCAATCCCAGCTGTAGCACCCACCGCCCCCTGCCCACCCCAGTCCCAGGTCCCACCACGCCAGCAAGAGAAGGCAGAGGACCCCCTGGTGCTGGGGGATGATTTAAGGCCACAAGTCACTGGATACGCTTCGTAAAGGGCTTATCCCCTTTTATAAGGGTAAATTCAACACTAACAGCTGTAACAGGCACCAGCAGCAGCTGGGGGGGGGGTCTGCCTGCACCCCCTACAGAGAGCCGTTCACTGGGTGGTTTTACAGTCCATGGAATGGGGAAATGCTCCGTTACCCCCCAGGCAGAGCTTTCCACCCTAAAAACCTGGCAAAGCCATTGGTGCAAAACCTGCCAGCAGCAGAGCAGGCGTGGGGTGAGAGGGGGAGTGCTGGGGTGGGGGAGAGCAGCCAGAGGGTTTTTGGGAGGTTTGAAGGGGGAGTGACGGAGGAGGATCTGTGATCGTATGATTCCATGATCTCTCCTGGAAAGCCGGGAGCCCGGCTGGATGTAATGATGTAATTCTGGCTGCAGCACGATCAGGCCTAAAATTGCAGAATGAAACTTTTATTTTTTTTTTTAACACTTGTCACAGGCCTGTTCCTGCTCCCACCCCCTCCCCAGGGCTGCGCTGGCACCTCGGGCTGTGACGAGGGGTGGCCGTGGGCATGCGCTGCCTGGGACTTAAATCTACCCTTAAAGTCAGCCAAGGGACGTTGGCCCTCTTTGGTGATGACCTACTTTAAAAATACCGCTCAGTACAGCAGCCCCTGCTCGTCAGAGCAACGTTAATTAAACTCTCTTCCCAGGCAGCCCTGTCCCCGGGACTCCCTGTTCTGTCTGTGAATCACCTTGGGGGGAGAGAAATCACTGCCAAAGAGCTGCATGGATTGCCTTGACGATAAGTATTTATTCATATGTTACATTTAAACATAAATAATTGAGCAGTAGTCTGCTCCCAACAAAAATAAATAAGTCAATACACAATATTAATAAAATACAATTAGACAGAATGTTATAACAAATACAACAAAGTTCTTAGAGGTTTGATTTTTGTAGATTTTTTTTTTTTAAACAGCGTTGTATAGTACATTCCCAACATACCAAAGAAAAATAGTGGAGTTTTATTTTTTTACATCACTTCTGTGGGCCCTGGGGGTTGGAGGGTTTTTTCGCTCTGGTTGATTTTTTTTAAAAAATACTCTTTTGCTTTTCAAGTGAGCAAACAGGCCCCCTCCTCCCCAACCCAAGATGCCCCTGAGCCCTTCCTGCAGCCCGGCCCTGGCCCGGAGCTGTAAACAGGGATGCTCTTGGCCCCAGCTCCCCCACCTTGGGGGTGGCAGAGGAGCCCTGTCCTGCTGTGACTCCCACTGCTGCTATTTCGGCAGCGTCACGCACAGAAAGGGGGTTTCCTTCCCCAGCGCCTTCCTCGGGACTGAGTGGGCTCCTCTCTTCTCACTTCTGCTTCGTGACCGCGGTGCTCGTGAGCCTGGAGAACACCACGATCCTCCCCAGCAGCCTCTGCCCACACCAGCCATGAGGGACTTCTGGTTTGGGTTTATTTTACCCTCCCCTCAAATTTCTAGAGCCCAGTTTAAGGGAGGGCTCAGCTATTGAGATGAGAAGCACTTGGTGTACATTTTTTCCCTTTTCAGACTTTTTTTTTTACCTTTTTTTAGTTTACTGCAATCATAAAGACGGATCTAAGCACAGATGGTGTTTCTAGAACCAAATCTACCTTTTCCTTGTGCAAGTGCCACTTGGCTGGTGAGGGCCCTGGGCAGTGCTTGCTCCTGCAAACCCAAATATCAGAAACACAAAAATTCAGGTTCAAATTCTTCTTGTTTTTGTGGGTTTGGTTTTTTTTTGGTTTGTTTTTTTTTTTTTGGTGAATTACTCGGGTGCTGATGGCAAAGGGTGGAATGGCCAAGCAGGAGAACTGGCAAGGACCTTCCCCGGGGCACAGGGACAGCTCTGCAAACCAGCACAAAGCATCAGACCCCCCCACTGCTGCTTCACCTGGGGGGTGCTGGCCCCACTTCAGCAGAGGAGCACCCAGTGAGTGTTGGGTGCCAAGGAAAGGCCTCCCCCAGGGCTCTGCAGCGCGGGAGGTGTGGGGAGAGGAGCAGTGAGTGTCGGGAGGCGCAAAGCTCTGCTGTGTCTGCTCCAGAGGGTGGGAGCTGAACTTCATGGCACTGCAGGATGCAGAGAGCGTGGGAGCTGTTCCTCTGTGCTAAACCTGTTAACCTCAACCACCTCGGATCCTGTCACCTGGGAAGGGCTGCAGGGTGAGCCTGCAAAGGAAAAGGCAGGCATGGCTGTGGCGTGTGCGGGCCGTGGGACTGCACAGCGTGAGCGAGTCACCAAAGGGGACTGAGGGGATGAAGGCAGATCTTCACACCTCCTATTAACCATGTTGTTTAAGGCCATTCCTCCAGCTGGTAACCTTATTTACTTTAATTGCTGCTAAATAAAAATGCCAGTGTTTTAGCAACAGGCACTCAGACGCTTTCTCTTCCACTTCAGGACACAGACATGAGTCCAAGGTGCTCCTCCAAGGAACCAGTCGATGCTGCAACACTGGAGTGAGTTTCGGGTCCGGCCGTACCTCCATGGAAGGCTCTGGCAGAGCACACAACTGCATCCAGGCTTTAAAGGTATGGTAAGTCAAAATATAAATGTTCTCGTGTCAAATTCCCCCTTTTTAATATCTCAAGTACGTTGATAGATGGTCTAGAGAGGGAAGTAAGAGAATGCAAAAAGATCTTGTCTAGAAATACAAAGTGAGTGTAACAAGGACTATCAAACACAAACCTTATCCGGTGAAGGAAAAGTTCTGGTTTTAAAAGTCTCTTACAAATCTCTTCGATATTTATTACATTACATGGAAGATGCAATTAAAACACCATTTTGAAGTTACAGTGCAAGGAGTGCTCCAGCCGACAGCTCACAACGAGGCCCACAGTGACAGTCTGCTCGTTATCACTTATTTTCAATCAGTGTCTGCACTTTGTAGACAAGGTCTCTTGCTATCCGCAGGATCTCCTCCACATTGTGATGCTCTGCCATTTCTAAAAGACACAGAGACAAACATCCTTCACTGTCAGCAGCAGGAACTTTCTGCCTTCGCATTGATATTAGTGTAGCATTAATTAATGAGTGTAACGGGAGCTGCAATCCAAAAGCTCTGCAGGGGGTCAGGTTTGTAGAATTAAAGATGGAATAGGTGGGTGAATCCCTCAGTGCTGCAGGTCCTGGCATCAAGATCTCATCCTTCTGCTGTCAGTCCCAATCCTCAGTTCCACAATGAACATTTCATTCAGCTTAGGCAAGTGCTGAGCTTCTTTGTTTGGTGGTTTGGGGGTTTTTTTGAGGGAAGTATTAAGGTGCAGGTTTGGAATAAGAATGGCTGAGGCAAAAACAAAACCAAATTTGGGACCTATGGACCCCTCTGGTGAGCAATCAGCCATTGGCTGAGGCAAAAACAAAACCAAATTTGGGGCTTCTGCAACAGATGGCTGAAAGCCACAGCATTGATAACTTAGTTAAATTACTGTGATTACACAAAATTGTTTCCAAACTTCTTAAACTATCCCACTGGGACCATTCTGCAGGCAGCACCCTGACCTGTGTTCTGCAGCCAGGAGGAGACCAGCCTTGCTTCAGCAGAGTATGTTCTGCTCCAGCACCACCTACGGACCCCTCTGGTGAGCAATCAGCCACGGAAGTGGTTTGGGATGTTTTGCATGAGCAGTTGCTTACATGGTTCAGCCTCGGCAGGGTCAAGCCCTATAAGCAAAAATGACTCTGGCAACTTTAAAATCTGCGAGAGACTTTCACAAAAGATTAAGCAACATTTTAGCACCTCCCATTAAACCCAGGGCAAAGAGTCACCGTGGCAAATCTTTTTAAAGAGAAAATGTGGAACTTGCTTTGTGGTCAAAATTGCCACTGACACTGAAAAAGCCACCATCCTCTATCATCCACGGAGCTCTTAAAACACTCCTGTTTGTTTGTGCCAAGTCAGCTCTTCAGGAAGTGAGTGAAAATCTGGGCTTTTCATTTACACGAAAGGTAGGGGGTTCAGAGCCTAAACTGACCAGAGGCTTGTCACGACAGCAAGAACACAACTGCAGTCTGAGGTACAGGAGATGCAGCAAACTCTCATTACTTGCTTTTTATCAAAATGACTCCCTTAAAAAAAGGTCTCTTACCGTTAAAAAACTTGATGATATCAGTGAAGTCCATGTTGTTATCACGGATAATCTCTCGATAAACTTCCACAAGTGCTAAGGCAATGAAAAGGACAAAATGTTCTGAAGAGATGTGCTTTGCTGCCCAAATAACTTCCCACACTGTAAATACATCCTCGTACAACAATTCTGAATGGGAATAAACATTACAAGAGCATCTGATTATTCAAATTGACCATTTCCCTCTCTCTAACTAACATTTTACAGGCCTTACACAGACATGACTAGCACTTGGTGACTCCTCCTCTGCCTCCCCCCCAGCCAACCCCTGTCACTGGTGCAAATGTGGCAGCAGAACTGGGTTTAAAGGCAACTCTCCGTGAAGGAGAGGGGTTAATGTGAAGAGTCACAGTTCCCCCCCACTGTCAGGTGGCTGCTCATAATAAATAGCTGATGGATGTCTATCATCTCCCCTATCACCTTTGTGCTTTGGTGTGTTTGAGAGGGATGTCCTCTCACTCTTGCAGATCAAGCTGTAACTCAAAGGAGCTACTGACTTGCTCAACAGCAAGATGGGTCTCAGTATCAGCAAGTGCTTCTCTTGGAGTGGGGGTGGGTGGGACGTGCAGAGATCCTGGGGTGCTCCCGCAGTGTACGAAGTACCTCGCTCAGCAAAGTACAACAGCTCTTGAGCTATTGCTGAGCTGCTCCTCGTTATCAAATGGATTAGAAAGGAGGCAGCACAGCCTACAAAGCAGTGTGATCAACTTGTGATCACTTTCTTGAGCCAACACCACTTGCACAACTCTAAGCTATAGGCATGGAACATCATTACCTCTTTTGAAGTCAAGCAGGAACCAGCGATAGCAGAAGTAAAAGTGAGTGTAATCTCCATTCTGGTGCATCAATTCAAAAAGCTCTGAGTCTAGAATCTGAAATGCAAAACATCCGCTGTCAGCCATAAATGGGAGATGTTACACTGTGCAGCAGAAGTTTGGGGGGTTTGTTTTGTTTGTCAAGTTGAGAGGAATTGACCTGCTCTAATACACACTCTTTGTCACAGCAAATGCTGTTTCCTGAGAATCAGGAAAACAGCTTGGGGCTGCATAAAACAATTCTTATCCTCCCCAACTCTGAAGCACCAGATGACCAGGAACCCCAGCCACTGGAGTCCTGCCCTTCACTGTGGCATCAAGCCAGTTCCGAGCCTCTGCCACGGCCTCATCTGCTTTCAAAGAAGATTAAAAACAGACTCACTTGGATCAGGGACCGCATGTTGGCAAAGTGTGTGTCCATAGCACCTCCGTTGGGGAAGTTCTGGCTCATCCTCTTCATCAGGTGGGTGAAGCAGCTGTAGGCCAGTTGATCTGGAGATATAATGCAGAACACTCAGCACTGCTACTTGTGTGACTTCCTTCAACCAGAATAACTACTGCGGGACCAGGGGAAAACAGGGATTTCCCCTTTGTTGTTCCCTAACCCCATCACCAGTATTTAGGTGAAACACAGGACAGTCCCTGATTCTGGCCCATTTTTACTAGTTATGTTTCAAAAGAACCCAGCTTGCAGTTGAGTTTCAGCTTCAGCAACTGCTTGAACACAGCTGCTTTGAAAATTTAGTAAAATTTGATGTCAAAGTCAGTGAGCGAACAAGGAATCCCCGAGATATTAATAGCAGCCATTTCAACAACAGCCACATGTAGAGAAAATACAACTCGAGCTGCAGGTTTGGCTTTCCTGGTGAGCTCGCCCTGGTTAATGCAAACAGCTTCTCAAACAGCATTTCTAAAGAAAGACCTCCCTAAAGATATCACCATATTCCAAAAGAAAACCCTTCCTACCATTGTCAAGTATAACCATCAAAGGAGCCAGGAGGTCACACATGCCTTGAACATAACCAACTTCCAGGTGCTCCCACACGTAACTGCAGAAAGAAGAACACACAAGAGATAATAGGATTAAAAATCCTCTTGCTGCATGGTGACCTCAAAAATTTGTCTTGCACCTAAAACATGACCCCTTTTGGGAGCTTTTAATAGTCTTGTTCTAGACTGCTGTAAAAGGTAAAGCTGGAACTTTAGAGAGAACTACTACTATAAAGAGAACTACAACAATTAAAATCCTCCAACACACTGGTATAAAATGATGAGTATTTCTGCTGGTTTTTTTACAGGGTAATTCCTAAAGGCTTCTATGAACAATCCACGATGGGGACAGAGCAGTGTGTGAGACACAGATCTCTCTCGTAATAGGACTCCTGCTGTAGGCTCGTCGTGTGTTGTGAAAGTTGTCTATTTGCAGGATGAATTAACTAATGCTGAACCTTTGCTGTTCCTCAAAAGCTAAATATTGTATTGAAGTCTAATTTGATTATGTGAGATCAAATCTTACGCAGCTGCTCAATGTGCCTCAGAGCTTTCTGACACTTCACATTCCCGAGTATTTCACAGCCCTGTATTGGATAGAGAGGACCAAATCTTGCACACACAGCTTGTGTATTGATAGCTTGTGAAAAAACAACTATGCAAAGCCTCTTGAGGTAGAAAAAGAATCTCCTCAAGCCTGTGTTCCAAACTTGGACAGCCTGTCATACCCATGCTCTCTAACCTACCTGTGACTCCTTCTTGCAAGATTTTTTATGTTCATTACTGAGAATTTTTATACAGACTATTATTTTCATATTATTATAGTTTATAGATTATGACAGAAACATGAAAATAGTTCAATTTACAAGCTGTGTTACCTGCACATGACATTTCGGAGTTTCTCCAGGTTATCGGCAGTAAAATACCAGTAATTCCGATCACATCTCTGGACATCTTTATCAATTCTGTGCAAATTTAAGGCAACAGTGTCCAGTAACTCTATCTAGAAGAGAAAAGTTTTAGTTAGATCTGCTGAGTTTAGAGCATTCCCAGGACTTGCTCTCTCAGATTTGCTCTGAGAATCAACAAACCAGAAGTAGTACCATTATACTTTGGGCATATGAGAGCATCGAAATACTCAATTACTGTCAAAAATCCCAGGTGAAATGCATACGCTTTCACTGGTAAATGTTCCAAGCCTGTCCTACTTCCAAAGGGTTATTTCTAGTTGAACAACTTGAATAGAGAGAGAGAGGCAAAAACTGAGCTGCTGATCTGTTGACAGCAACACTGAGAGAGCTGGTGGAGCCCCGAATCGAGGTTTAGGCTGTGGTTCAGTTTCATTAAATATGTGTTTTAGCTTGAATTAAATGACACTGAAATCTTACAAGTGGTGTGTCGTCCACACCTCCCCACAAGCCCCGGAAATTTTTAGCTGCTAGAACTCTACCACATTCTTTTCCTTGCCCTCCCACTGAAAGAGACCCAAATTTGTCTTGATGTCTTATTTCCAATCCGGCTCAAAATCCAGGTGAAAAGATTTGGATGCAGAAATCCTCAATTACCATCCCAGCACCTGTATTCTCTGTCTCATTAAATTCTACCTGAAAAAGAACAAGTCTTTGCTAGAGCAGCAACGCTGTGCAGAGAGATGACGATACTTTATGTTGTGACCTACCGTGTAGGACGCAGCGCAGACAGAGGCAACATCCATTAAATAATCCCCCTGGGAACACAGCTGCTCCTCCGACACGGAATCCTGAGGCTGCAGCACGACTGACTTGGCTTTCTGCAGATGGGGGGTGTCTGGGTCAGTCCTTTCCGAGTCAGCACCGGCCTCTTCCTCAGCCCCCTCCTCGAAGGAGACGCTCTGCCCGTCGTCGATGCTGGACAGGATGCCCGAGGCCACAGAGTAGTTCCTCGAGGACGGCAGCCCGGAGTCAGGGGAGTCAAACTCCACAGCCTGTGGCTCCACGGCCCCGACGGCTGCTGGCACCTCCGCAGACACCACCGTGAAAGGGGGGTCGTCCTGACCTTTGGGGTCCCGTTCTGCTGAGTCCGTTTCATCTACGGATATGAAGACCTGGGGGTGGGCAGGGGAGAGAAGAGTCAGGTAAAGCAAGGGAGAACAGAGAAGCAAGAACTGTTCATGTAGCAAACCAACCTCCAGCCATGAGACAGGGATGACTACAATAACTTCAGTGAACATGATCACCCATTAATAGAGCTTCCCTGCATGCAAATAGTTGAGAGCTCCTCACTCAGTCTTTATACTGAGACTGAAAGTCTAAAAGTAATAGCAGTTTATGACCTCATATCCATCTCCTATGATGATGTCTCCCCTTTTCGTAATCTTCAATTAGCAATGCCTTGGAAAGCAGCGAAGCTCCCCTGCCTACAACACCAACACTAAAAACATCAGAGATACATTGCAATGACCAGAGACCAACGTTACCTCAGGCCTCCGACAATGCAATTCAGCTACTGCTGTTTGAAGCCAAGACTGGCCTTCAGAGTCTTTCACCATGCAGCCCTTTTACCTCTTCTCTTGCTAAAAGCCTCTTTGTTGAACATTTTAAGTTTTATTCTCTCTTCTTTCATGGAAATCAGTTAGCTAACTCTTAGAAGTCTGCATAAGTAACAGATGCCCAGAGATATTTTGGGCACACAACTGCCATCTCTCCTGTCCAACAATGTGAAAAGAAACCCCTTTCTTGGCTATTCCAGTTACAGAGGGGTTAATTCAGTCTGCCTTCCTACTGCTTTGCATCTTACCTTAGACTGACAAAGATCCCCTCTCCCAAAATAAAATCACAGCCAGCCTGTCAATCAGGGACATGACAGAATCCAAAATATGCTTTAATAGTAGCGATCTTTTGCTCTATGCTGTATTTGAATAAAGGACCCACAAGTAAGAGATCTAGAAAGCTATTCCTCTATGGAGAAAAGGATCTTCTCCAAGTAGGTGAACCTTAAAGCCCCTTAGGCAGGTCCTGCTCAAGAACAGCTCCAAACTACCCAAAACACAGCTCTACTGTGGAGGCACCACAGCTTCAGATGGGCTGTCCCTCTGCAGCCGCCAGGGAGTACCTACATCGTTGCTGATGGTGGAGTCCCTGTGGATGAGTCGCTGGACGTGGCTGTCGATGCTGCTGCCCGAGGAGAACTTTGCCAGCGTGGCAGAATGTGATTCCTTCTCCCGCTGCTTCACGATGACCTCGCAGGCTTTCCACTCAGCCATGACCTTCTGGTACCGCAGAGCAATGTCTTCATCCACCTGCAGACAGACAGACAGATCCTGAAACAACAGTCCTCCTTGAAAGAGAGCATTAAAATGAGCGGACGCCAGGAGGGGGAGGTCTAAAGCAAGTGTGATGTCTCAAACCGAAAGGCTGACGGCTCCTGCAGCCCTCTGGCCAGAGCACACATCACTGTGACTGGAGCAGGGAGATACTGTGTATTTACTGCAGGGAATGAACCATCGCTGGAGAGGCCACAAAAGATTCATCTAAGCACGTGTATACACTGTCAACAGCACTTTGACACTGCTCAGGGAAGAACAGAAGATGTCACTGGCCTTCATGTGAAGTCAGATACAATCTGCTGGAGCAATTGCTGCCTCTAACAGGATTATTCCTAATTTCATTACATCTCCTTCCCAGCTCCTCTATTCCAAGTCTAACGTAGCCCTTGCAGTGGATTCCAGGAGACAGGTTTATAGCCAGCAGCCTGTGCAGAGCTGGATGCTGGGAGAGCCTCCCGAGCAGCACAAATCCCAGCTCACAGAGCCCGGTCCTGGGGCTGCACCGCGCACGGCCCTAGGAATAAACCAGATTCTTGCACTGCTGGCTGCCTCTGGTGACAGACAGACACAGACACCCCCCCGGGCTATTAAGGGACACGTAGTAATTTCACTACTCTGTCACTTGTCAAGCGCTGAAGAGAAACCGCAGTTGTGAGCTCTGGACTCTGCTGGCTGGAGCTGCCACCACAGCAGTCACGCTAAGAGCTGCAGGCTGTTTGTCACTCGAGGTAGCTGTCGAGTCATAAATCATAAAATACAACAGTTAGAGGGAGGCTGGAGGACAGCCATGTTTGGGAGTGCCCCCGATACTGATGGATGACTGCAAAAATACCATCAGAAGGCAAAGATGATAAATCACCTGCGATGACTTCAGTTAAGGACAGGATAAGTTTCCTATACGTGCAAATGTTATGGCTGTTTTCATGTCATTCATTTAATAGGCTCCTGCATTCAATGGGAAGCTTGAAACTCCAACAGCACGTTTCTTTGAGGAGTCAGTCACTACTGTTATTTACTACTGGTGTTGAGTAGCTCATTAGAATTCCAGCTAAGGTTTGGAGCATCCCTGTGTCAGCACGGTACAAACTCAGGGAAAAAAAAATCCTATAGGAGTCTGCATACTGTGCAACATATCTTCCTGAATTTACTGTAATTCCTGTCATACAAATGGACTCAAGTATTTATCTCTTCTTGCCAAATCTCGTATGTTCTAGCTGTATACATGCACGTGCCCTTTGAAGCTGGAGCTGGAATCCAAGAGTTGTGGCTCCAGATCTACCACTCAAAAATCTAAGTATCTGGGTCCTTTTTTCAGTTCCAGACATACCTTCTATTTCTATAAATGGATCATAAATCTGATGGTTCATATACCTGTGGAGAACAGAGACAGCAAAATGTGGTCTATGCAAGAAACCTCCACTATCCTATATTTCTTGAAAATGTGAGGGTAAAACAAAATAAAAAATGAATGGAGCACCAAATGCAAATTAATAAATTCACACTGCATGTAGAAGTGCTGCAATTTAGCCAGATCTCTGCTACTGAAGCTGTGCACCAAATTCATGGAAGAGTTTGGAAGAGCTCTCCCTTTTCACAAAGACAATAGGAGTTAAGGACCCAGTCCACATGGTGCTTCTTTCTTAAACTTGTGCTCTATGCAAAAAAGGGATGATTGACCAAGTCTCCTGTAGAACAGACGTACTTTCCAGCAGGACATGGCAATGTGCCAGCCTGGCTGGATATCTGGATTTGCTTCTCTTCAGGGGCAGTTTGCCTGGCCTTGGGGAGATAAGGCAACCAGGACCTAGTGCTCTTGGTGGCTTCTGAGGTTCTTTGTCTTTCTCCAATGCTGATGTCATGGGAGGGCAGGAATTTGCCTCAGCGGCGCTCAGCGAAACACTCATGAGGGATACACTATAGCCAGAAAATCTAAGTATAAAAGCCTACAAAGATGACTGGATTCAGGGTGAAGAATCTGGATTGTGACCCAGTTTGAAGCGTTGCTGTGTCCTTCTCAGCTTCTGGCTTTGGGCACCTCCAGTTTCTGTCCAGGAAGCGGGGCTGAGGGAAGGGACAACCCTCTCCCGTTTTGCCCGGCTCTATCTGTTTGTTTCCAGCCTGGTTTATCATCAAGCCCTTGCCTGGTAATCACAACAAATGGAAGCACTCAGCAAAGTCAGAAGTTGGTATTGCTATAAAGAGATTAGCAAGGGGAGGTAGTATAACTAAGAGATGGGCAAACTGTGGTTTCATTAATGGAAACTATATGCCAAGTTTCAGACTGTGAAATAAGGCTGTGACATAACCCAGGCAATTACTCACTGATCAATGCTAGCAGCAGCATGGGAGATATTAAGATGAATAATGTCTCACTTGAAATTGCACCCTGTGTTTTACAGAGCTACATCTTATTTAAGTCTAGCAAAAGCATAATGAACTTACAAACCGAACCTTCCTCTGGGTATTTTTAGCCTCTAGACAGAAACTCCAAGTGTACTTCAGAAGGTACTTCGGGGCTGTTCACAGCTCCAGTAGAAGTCCATGCATGCAGATGTCGTATCACAGACAAAGGAGTTGTTTCAAAGAGCATTTTGAAGTATAACTCAGCTAACACATCATGATCAAATTACTATCTAAATGTCAATGTCTCCCTATTTTATAAGTTACAAATATGTGAAAACAGGACTTGCTGAGGGCAGGTACACGTCACAGGCACAGGTTTCCTGACTTCAATAAAGAACTCCCTTTTAGTGATTTTCAGGCATGATAACACGGTATCATAATCCCTCTACTAACACGTATCACTCATGTTTCCAGTAGCATTTTCCCCTTAGGAATATTAAACAATAATAAAGACTAACACTTGCTATTCAGAAGACAAAACCTGTTGTGCAGACTAACTCAGCTCCCCGGGCAGCGGTGCTTACCTGCTCCATCTCCTTTTTGGCCATGCCGAATTTATAGTGACCCAACAGGAACGGCCACACTTCCTTTCGGATCTCGTGCTGCACCCCACCGTAGTAAACTCTTCTTAGTAATTCCAGTTCCTTGTAATTCTACAGCAGCCAGGAGAAAGGTATGGAAGGTAATACATCTTTATTTTCCTCTGGCATGCACTTAATGCAATTTGGCAACTTGACTCAAGCCTTTAGGGCCCCAGCTCAAATCCAGCCTAATGTAAGTTGTCATGTCTCCCACAAAAATAATCTTTTAATAGACTAGAGTCATCATAAGATCAGTTGCTTTGATGTTAACTGGTATCTATGCCATCATCAGAGCTAATGTAAGTTGTCATGTCTCCCACAAAAATAATCTTTTAATAGACTAGAGTCATCATAAGATCAGTTGCTTTGATGTTAACTGATATCTTTTCCATCATCAGAGAAGCAAAGTATAAAAGAGACTGTGAGAATTGACTGACTCTCACTCGAACGAGGAGTGATCCCGTGCAGATGAGGAAACACCTGTAAGACTTCCTGGGCTCCATTTTAAGGGACACGTGCTCAGGGCAGCGTGTGTGGAGCCAGTAATGATCATAAGGGTGTTCTGTTACTGACCTTCTTGTCCTTCTGGTACTTGCTCCAGACCTCTTTGGTCAGCCCCCCCGCCGCGCTGGAGGGTTTGTCGGGGGGGACGATGGTGTGGTTGACGAGGGCAGAGAGGTGGGTTCGCACCGTGGACAAGTGGCGGCAGTAGGCGAGCCCTGGGTGGGGGGGAGGTAAATGGTCATAGAAGAGCCACCTCCCTCCTAGCAGCAGCCCCTCTTTGAAGATGAAGCTGTGACATTTTAAACCCGCCAGGAACAACCCTGCATGAACTAAACTTGCACTGTACTGTATAAGAATGAAGAATTGCAACGGAGCCAAAGATTAAATAAATCTTGCAGAGACTAATAAAATCCAAGTAGAGATTACACTGCAACGTAAAGCTAAATTCTCTCTAAGCATCAGTTTGCCCACTGCTATATGCAAACCCCACAGACAATGGGATTATGAAGCTGTGACACTTGAGCCACGTCCCCCCTCCTGCCCCGAGGTGATGTGACTCACAGCAGTAAATCTGGGTTTGGGCTTTCTAAACAAACATCCCATGGTCTTTAGGCAAGCATATGGATACCACAGGAATGGGTATAAGAACCTTCACTTACATCCATAGAAGGCTCTGGAAACTATTTGCCTCTTCATGCTGTCACACAGCATCTTCAGGGGAGTCCTGTGGAGACACGTTAACAGGAGCAGGATGGGTGATGAGGACAGAGATCATCATCGCCTTCACACTCATCCCTACGCCCTACACACAGCAGTTCTTTCTCTGCACCAATATTTGTTTAGCCAAAGAACAATGAGAATGACAAATTACACTTTTTAAAGCATTTTCCCCAGCAGCATTTTGGCCCAATTCACCTGGCACATTTAGCCACAACCGCTGCAGGTGCATTGTAAAGGTCCTTGTCAAGTTTGATGAACTGTTGCCCCTCACTGTAATCGTTAATGACTTGTTAAAGAAATTGCTTCCAGAGCTGAATTATATTCAACTAGACAAAAAAACTAGATGCAATTTTTCTATCAAAATGTGACCTGAGAGTAGTTTAATAGGTTAGTTTTAATAAACTAAATATCTTGCTGTATAAGTGCCCGGGTGAGCCCTGCGGCTCTCGCTCACCGGTCGTGGATGCAGTTGCAGCAGCTGGGGACGTCGTAGGGCGAGCTGCCCGTTGAGCAGGAGAGACACGAGGAGCCCTGGCTGCAGTGCTCCAGCTGCCACGACAGCAGGTTTGCCCCGAAGCCTTGCATCTCGATCATTTCGCTGGTGTCTAGGGGAAAAAACCAAGAGAACAGTCCGCCATCAACCTCTTCGGTTCTTCCCCCCCCGTCTTCCTTCTGTGCGTCCTGACGGCATCATGCTTTGCTTCTCAGCAGGCTCTGAACCTCGATTCCAAACGGGGAGCACCATCCCAGTGAGCTCAGAAACGCTGCTCTCTGAACCTAACCCGCTGCAGGCTGTGCTCGGGCACTTCCCCAAAAGTCAAATCCCTTCACCATCTCCCCCCTTTCTTGCCCACGCACATCCCAGTTCGTGTTTCAGGAGAACAGAGGAAAGGGTGCTGCAGTAACAACTAAACCTGGTTCTTGTGTGATGCTACGGTAATGTCAGTTATGGCCAGGAGAGACCATCTAACCTGACCTTCTGTTTTAATTCAGGCCTCAGAATTTCATTTTGCAGTTCCCAGAATCAGCCACGTAACTGCTAGTCCAGCTAGAGTGCAGGTTGGAGCATAAAAGAAATTAAGACAAAGTGCTTCAGTTATTTTCAGAAGGTGCTTCTTTCCCCCTCAGAACCAGACCCTAAGGTACTTGGTGCAGAAGGAGAGTTCAAGTCTTACTAAAGCCAACACTGTGTTTGTAAAAGTAGGATTCTCTGCAGGAAGGTGTGATCCAACAGTACAGTGCAGCTGCTCCAGTTATCCCCGCTCCACCAAAGCTATTGGCCTTTTTAACCACCTTCAGGAAGGCCACCCAAAAAAATCCCCAGCTGCCTTCAAAAAGCTTCTTCAGCTCTTCAACTTTCCCAGCTGGCATTTGAGCTCGCAGGTTTTTTTGTTTTATAATAAATAACTGGCCTTTCAGCTCACCCATGATTAAAATTAAGGCAAATGCCATAATACTGTATGTCACTAAATTAACATTTGTCAGCAAAATCCAGTCCCCTGGGCCGTGCTTTTAAAACATACATTTGTTGGGTGGTGGTAGGGGCAATTCCAAACCATCTCATGCATTTCAAATCAAGGTAGCGTAAAGCATTTTAGTAGTGCCTATTAGAGAGTGGGCAGAGGTGAGGAAGGAGTGGAGTAAAACCATTCGTTAACAGAAAAAGCACAGGCTCATGCGGAAGCAGTCATGTGTGTCTCAGTTCACAAAACAAAGTGTGATGCAAAAATGCTCTTCACCTTAATTCTTCAGGAAGGAGCTGAATGACCCAGTATTTATTGCAGCTTCGCATTGGGTTCAAATAAAAACCATTGGACAAACATTTTTAGATCGTTATTTTTTGCCTCCCCTCTACCAACAAGAAAAGTGGGTTTTTCTGTTTTGATTTTTTATTTTATTTTTTAGAGAAACAAGAAAAGAACCCCACAGAACCTAAAGATTCAGATGAAAGGTACCTGAATTAGTGAAGAATTAGAGTGAACAGCATCTTTTAGTTAATTGTAGTGGTGTTATCTGGAACTCCAGCTACATGCAGAAGTCGAGCATGTTGCAAAATGTAAAAGCAAATGGGCAGCAAACCTGCTACAACAGTGTTGTCATTATTGACACGGGAGCTGCTGGAGGGACCACAGCCCACCCACTCCAGTTAGCAGGAGCCACTACCCAAGAGCAGACACAGCCCTAACTCTACTGTCACCTTCAGGATTAGGTAAGCAAAAGCAGGTACCTGACAGCCGTTCTGGTGGGATAACTCAACATTTCCATCTCCTGACTACAGACTAAATTGTGTTTCTTATGCTCTAGATCACAGCATTAGCCTCTTAACATGCGTATGCAGCAGTGTTAGACCTTCCTCCTTTCCATTAGCACCCATAAGCAGACCTCATCGGTTAAGACACACAGAAACTTCCTGAAACAATATCTTTTTTCAAGGGCAACATGGTATTTTTGAAGTTTCTTTCCATCCCTACCTTCCAAGAACCCTTTATTACCTTGGGCTGGGCTTTATCAGTTTCTAGGGGCTACTACCTTGGGATAAGTGTGTGGGCAGCCTCCAGGAAACGAGGAGGATCTCCTTGAACATGTTCATCTCCGATCTAACAGAACCTGAGCACTGTACAGAGATGTAGGACAATTACTGTCTCCTACAGCTGGTCCCACCAGACCAGGGCTAATACCCATTTGGAACCAAAGTAATTTCTCCGCTATTTAAAGGTGTGTCTTCTCTGGAGCCAAGATACATTGTGTTTTTCTCAGGAATTGAAAATACCAGAAAAAGCACGTTCATGCTAATGTAATGAATGAAAAATATAGACAAAGGCCAAACTTGCAAGCAGTTGCTTCTCCTTCCTACTTCCTCTGCAGATGTCAAACTTCTGACAGCTACTTTACAGCCTGGTTACAGAGAAGACTCTGTTTTTGCTGATTACTCCAGTGATTAGGAAGAGGCAGAGGCTGCTGTTCAGATATACCAGGAACACACCAGATTTGGCACATGCACACTACTAGATCCCCAACACTAACAGATACGCTTCTTCAGAATACCACCTTCACACATCTGTTATGAATTGCTTTAGGAAGTGCACTAGATGACACATTTTGGGAGGGTGGAGAGTCTTGCAGCTGATGATCTGAAACCCACCTGGCCTACAAATGCAAGAATGGAATGAAAGCACCTGACTACAGAAAGTTTTTGCCTCTCCATATGATGTTCTCTGCACACTTCTGCTCCCCTACAGAGGTACCCAAAGTGTGGGAACATGCCTACTTGAGCTGTCCCTGGGCTGAAATGGTAACTCCCCACACTGCTGCCCTGTTCTGTCCACACAGACATGCTCCATTTCTGACACAGCCCAGCACATCGCTGCTGTAACCGTTCACCTCTGATCCTTCTGCATCTCCTTCCTCTGGAAGGAGAGAAGGTTTGTCTGTTCAGCAGCACACACGCTCCGAGGAGAGGGAAGATGCTGTTGTATCCACTTCCCAGGGGTTGTGAGCGTATTCCCAGCCTCTCTGCACAGTCACCTTCACCTCCAGGTCTCATGGTGCCAGTGAAATGCTCTTCCCTGTAATAATGCCAACACTGTTGTATGCACCAGTGGAACGAGCTGCAATAGAGCTCCGGGACACAGGGGGAGGAGGATAAAAACCTTTCATCCTATTAGGAGCTGTGAGGTTCCGAGAGCAGATCATTGATAGCATTGCGTGTAGCTTATCTTCCTCCTCCTCATCATCGTCAACAGAGGCAGAGCGGCTGGCAGCTAAGTGGTGGTAGTTAATAGTTACTGCTCAAAGAAAATAGTGAAAGAGGAGCATAAGAAGAGAGAACTCGACTCTGCGGGAAAGCTCAAAAGGACATGTTCAGCAAAGACAAAGAACTCGAATCCTGCCCTCTCCTTGAAGGCACAAGCTCCTGTAAATGGGTACAAAAAATGTGTTTCTTACAGAAAAAAAGCATGCTCCACCAAACACGGGCCAGCTTTTGATTGTGCACCGGCTGTGTCCCCAGAGCACACACGTCACATCATGGCAATGGTGAAAGGTCCCAGTGCCAGCCTGCAGAGGGGGGGTTATGCTTTTTAGCAAAACTCCATGGGAATTCTGGGCTCCAACTACCTTCCTTCACTACGCCCTTACCAACACTGTGGCCTCTTCCACTCTGAAACCTGTGCCAGATGCATCTGGGCAGCAAACGTTCTGCTCCCCAGCTCTCTGGGCACTGCAGACACCCAGGGAACAGACCTTCCCCCGAGGAAGCCTGGGGCAGGAGCCAGCTCTCTCTGTCTTGCTCTCAGCAGGCAGGTCTGCCCTGGACACAGAACCTGCATCCCCTTGTCTCAGGCAAAGGCAGAACACACTTTTCCTGGTGTGTGCATGAACTTACCTGCACAAATCCAGACGCCCTAGTAAAGCACGGCCACCACCGTGTTCAGTCCCCTGGGGTAAGGAGGGTTCAGTTGAGATTTCTGCTTTTTCAGCTGCAGTAAGTCCCAATATGAGCAGTAAATCCAAATCCCCTGTAAACTTTAGGGTCTGATCTTCCTGGGAAATTCTTGCTTCTTTGCCAAGGAGAATAAAACCAAACATGCTGTTTGAGAACTAGCTCAAATGCCTTCTTGCATGTAAGGAATTTCTGCTCACTGATGACATGAGGTGGTTTGGTTCTTGGGAATTCATTTAGTTTTTTTGGAAGGGCCTTTATTTATCCATTGTTAAGTTCTTGCTTCCAAACCAGGAAAACTTAGCCCAGGGAGTTGTTGAGGTACTTTAAGAGTTGAGTTTATGGCTTTTTTTCCTAATAACAACATTATGAGCAAGCAGTGTGGCCAGTAAAAATATCCTCACTTCAGGAGCAAAACTGCTCTTGGCTACTCAAGCAATGTTTTTACTTTTAGTCTCAGTTTGCAAGCCCAGGGGAGTATTTTGAAAACTTCCTCTGCAAAACACAGAGTAAATGAAAATAAGATTCCCCACCTTGACTCCATTTCCACTAAGATAATAAGTTTCACTACATTAAGGAAACCTACGGTGACCTGTACCTGTTGATCACAATTATCACACAATGAAGTTTTGTGATAGGTTTTTTGGGTTGGGTTTTTTTGTTTGTTTGGTTTTGTTGTTTTTTTTTAAGAAAGCAGAACAAAGGCACTTACTGTTATCATGCTTGTGTCCTGGATAGATAATTCTGAACACGTAGTCTGTAGAAGTGTCTTCAGCTGGCATCTCCTCTAGGTCCACTGATCTGTTGCTGTTCCGTTTTCGAAGCTTCGGAAATACTTTACCCTAGAGAAAATAATGATTCCACACATTCAGCCACAAATAACTAATAGAGCACAACAAACTGAATACTGCAGACATTTGGCATCTTAAATCTTAAAACTAAACTTTCAATGTTGGGAGGAGGTGAGGGAGAAAACAACAGTAGAATCACATAAAGCAGGTGGTTTAGGGGTACTTAACACAACTTTTCTCTGTACCTAAACCACAGCTTTTTCTTGTAATCCATAGGAATTGGGCACCAGCTACTTCAATAATCCAAGCTGCTGCCAGCAAGTATGTCCCAGTCCATTTGAGCCTCAGTCTCTCTCGCTTGGGTTCATATTTTGATACGATAGCAGATGCCAGTTCATTGCTCAATGGGGTAATGGAGGTGCAAACAATTTTTATAGACTATCTGTATAAGAATCAGATTGGACTAAATGGAGTTATTTTGCCTTCCACTTCACTATAAAGCAGGTGGAAATCAATGCCCAGACTCAGGGGAGCAGGATGCTCGTTGAACAAAGACATGAAGATCAGCCCTACCTTGCCCTGTTGTGACCAAAGTGGTGGTTCCAGCTGACCACGAGGCAGAAGACCATTTTCCAGGCAGGAGAGAAACGCGAGGAGGTGACCTCCTTGGGGAAAGTGCAGCGGAGGCCTCTGAGTTCCATCCTGACTCACCAAGACTAATGTCCATCTGCTTTCTGCTGCAAAGGAGGACAAGGGGAGTCCACACTGTTACATCAGAACCTCTATTTTTGGCTCTTACCTTCTCAGTGAATTTTATTCATGATCATCTCTAGATAAATAAAGCTCTGTAAGTAATAATGCGATCTAGGGATGATCTCAGTCCTCTAGTCCTAAAGAAGCTCAAGATAGAAGCAAACTGTGACATGCAAAAACATTTAAAGTTATTCTGAACATTAACATAATAAATAATAAAGGAATTACTAAACTAAGTCTCTGGTGTATGAAAAACTTGACAAAGGACACACAATTTAGAATGAAAATCAGCCTAGTGGATATAACCAGAGGCTGTCAGCTTAACTCCGGTGAGAATTAGCAAGTCACATTCCCTGTTGTAAATTCTTCTTATTTATCTCCACTGTCACTAGAAATATAGCACAATAAGGAAAACCACCCTGGGCTCTGGATATTCTTTTAAGCTTAATAATCTGCTTCTTGTACAATTGTCAAAAGAATGTAAGTGAATTAGGTTCTTAATTTCCTTTTCTGAAGCTGAGGCACCTGGGTAGGGGGGGTGTCTAAGGGCAGGGGGTGTAGCGTGGCTGTGCCAGCCCCACTCTGGTAGCCAGGAGCTGTGGCAGCACCGCAAGTGTCTGTCATCTTGTGCAAACAACAAACCCCATGTTGTGTACACGCACGCCTGGCACCCGCCACCGAAACAGCGCTCTCAGTGAAGAACAGCAAAGGCTGTTGTGTTTCACGTCTGTCATTTAATTCCCCTTTTGCTTCAGAACTGGCACAAAGCAGAGCGGTGACGTCTCCGACCAGTCAGTGAAACACCAGACAGGCACAAAGTGTCCCGGGGAAGCTGATCAAAGTCAGGCAAACAGACCTGAAATAACCTTGCAACTGTCATCCTCTGCCAGGCAGCATTCCAGATTTTAACACTCGTCCCCATATGCCCATAACTAGTTAGAAGTGTTAATGACACTGAGGGAGGAAAAGCAATCAGTCAAAGGGCTCTCCTGCTTATGTATTTTAAAGCAATATATATTAACTGTCTTCTGAAACAGGCTCTTAGTTGAAGGTCCTTTAGTCCAAGTGTAACTCAAATCTGACTTCAAATAAAACTTCTACATGTTCTTTGTCATTGCACTGTGATTTTGACTCCAGGCCTGTGATAAGGAAAGCAACGGGAGAGATGTTTTGTCCCAGATTCCTCCCCCTGCACTGAGCAGAACGGGGTACAGGGAACCGGACGGTCAGGGGGTGACAGAGGGTGGCCCTGGTTACACACTCCCTTCTACAGGTTGATGATCCCCCCACAGACACAGCTCACACCTGCTTTCCCCCCCTCCTTTCTTGCAGTGGTTGATGGGTGCAGGCCCACGCTTATAAAGCCAAAGCTTCTGTGTTTAATACCTGCTGCTGACAGTTTCCCCCCAGCGCTGCTCCGCACAGATGCTCAGAAAAAACAAAGCCCAGAGAAAAACCAAAGAACACAGAAAGCAGCTGACACCCGGAGCAGCGTTAGCAGAGGAGGTCCTGCCAGGCCTTTCGGTGAAGACACCTGAAGAAAAAGGGCTTGCCCTTTGCAATAAACCCCTAGCAGGCACCACGTGAAATGGCAGCAGCATTAACATTCACCGGCAGCCCCTGAGAAGAAGGTTTATGCTTACGTTGCTGATGGCAGTGGATGCAGACGATCTGGCTGAGTGGCACAATTAATGCGTAGTCCCAGTAAACACTAAGAGGGAAGGAAAAAGCACAGGAAACGTTTTTTTCTTTTCCATATGCAGGAGTGCTTGTGGTTCCAAGCACCCAATAAAAAGACTCTCCTAAGTTAATAACTGCTTATTAAATTGGGTCAATTAAGGTAAATTAATAGCCAAGTAAAAGGCAAAGGAACTACTTCTCCACAGCGGATACATCTGGCACCTGCCTTTTCATAATCTCCCTCTTCACCCCCCCTTCCCCCCAGACCCCACACCAGGTTACAGCAATGCCCTGGCTGAGATTAAAACCCCGGGGCACAGACTTCATGACGGTCTCGTAGCTGGGTTCAGGAGAGCAGGTTCAGGTCTGTCTTGCACATGTGATTTATGGGCATGGGCCTTTTCTCTCAAACACCCGAAAAGCGGGCTTTTGTTTTCCTTTCAAAAAGGCCTTATATCCAAGTGCATTACAAGACCTTTGGAAAGTTGTTTCATTTGTGGCAAGACAGAAGCAGAACCCAAGCTGTCTGAACCCCAACTTAGGCACTATTCAGAAGTCCTTCAACTAAATCAGCCTCGTTACGCTTATGTATATTGCCAAGAATACAAGAAATAAACACCGCGAATGCTTCTGATCCTTTCCTAAAGGCAATGACTACCTTTTCTCCAGCTCTGAATCTCCAAGGGTTCCATTCATCAGCTGATTTGGAGTCCATTTTAATGTCAAACTATCTGCTGACTGATGAAGGGAGAGATACCCAGGAATCGCCTCCAGGTCGTCTTTCTGTTCACAGAAGCAACAAACAGACAATCCAGGTGACTCAGGTGCACAAGGGTAATTGTCACATTCCAGTCTTCCTCTGCCCCACAAGTTCCAGAGCAGCGCATTATCTAGGAGCTGCTGAGGGAAACCTTCACACCAAAAGGATTGATATTTAATGTTGCTATTAGAAACAGGGGGAAAGAACACAGCACGGTGGCTGGGTTTATGAAATATAGCTGGTATGTTTGTTCCTCCCTACAGGCTCCCTTCACAGCTGGCACTGGTTGGGCAGTGAAAGCGTTTGTCACGTCTTAATCTACCTCAGCATAACAGAGTCAAGTGGGAAGGCAGCACTGTCCTCAGGACAGGATATTAAGCAGGTACTTGACAAGCCTAAGTTATGTTCTTACCTACACTGCTGCCTTCTCAAGTCACAGCCAGGCAGCAGCTGTGTGTGTTGGCCCAAAACTCCGTGTACTCACCGGCTGGACCAAGACGTTGTTTTTCCCATACAAAAGGTGTGTTCGGGAATTCTGGTGCAGAGACTCCACGTACTCTCTTGCCGACGCAGCAAAGCGATCTTCGGAGGTGCTCCCACTGGAATGCCGCTTCCGGATCTAGCACCCAGACAAACACAGACAAGGCAGATGGGGCCAGTCAGGAATGGCTGTACCACCAGCCCAGTTAAACAGGAACATTTAGACCAATCTCTGTAGAGTGGAACAACTTCTGGAGCCAGGAGACCTTGCAGAGCAATGACCTGGGCTCTTACTCACCCTTGGCCAAGGCAGCTCATAATTTCTTGTGAGCTACCTGGTCAGATCACAAGAGTTAAAAGCCACAGAATTTAGTCCTGGATCTCTGACTTTTCTACATACAGATAGAGAGGACATTTGGGCCCAAATGGACTTCTGTGATAAAGGCTCCACTACAGAAAGGTTGTTCTAGATTCAGATCTCTCCCTCCTGGGGTTGTTTTTTCTTATCAACCTGTGCCTTAACTCCGAAACAGCTACCCAGTAAATACCTACTCCCAGGGCCGGGCGCTTCGAAGGAGAGTCCTGGCGGCCGTGTACTCCGTGAATCCGGTGCCGCTGAACAAGCTCGTCTGCTGAAGGGTCTGTCCAGTAGTGATCTGCTGTTTTCAGCTTGGTGTACTCCAGAGCACATGGTCCAACTAAGGAAACAGCCCAAAAGTGCGGTCTGTCCAGTAGTGATCTGCTGTTTTCAGCTTGGTGTACTCCAGAGCACATGGTCCAACTAAGGAAATAGCCCAAAAGAGACACCTTCTGAGTCTGTTCAGGAACATACTTAGACTTGTCATGATGGCCAAGTACTGAAAGTGAGATTTCCTTCTCAAGCCAAGCCCATAATATAGACAATGCATACAACAACATATCAGGTCCTATTATCTAGGGTTGTATAAAAACATTCCTGTAGGACACAACACCCTGCCATAGCAGCTGCAATCTGCTAGCAAGCATTCTGTAAAAAGCCAGTCCCACTCTGTTCTCTGACCCAACCAACAATTACTAATAAAACTAGATGACTGGTCTCTCTGGGCTCGTGAGCAACAAAACAACTTACTCTGTTATAAATAGCTAAACTACATGTTAGCAATAAAAAGTCATCTTTTGTAACACCATCATAATACAAAATGTTTTAAGAAACAGTTTATTTTCTTTAGCCTAAGAAGTAACTTTGCAAGAACTCACCCAGAAGAGAAGCCAGTATTGGGCCACACACCGGATCTGCCAGTAAAGCCTCTTTTTCATAATATTTACTAGGAATAAAAGAGGAGAGCCCAGTTAAAAACTGGTTTGTATTTTTGAAAGTTCTTATGCCTCCAAGTAGCATGAGTCCACCGACTTTAAAAATATCACATGTGCTAACACAAAAATTCCAGCAACAGAATCTTTCTGTGATTATCAAATACAGTCTCTCCCACAGCGGGCTGATAAAAACCCTCTGTATCTACACAAGTCAGAGACAGGACCAAAGGGATCCAAACCCCGTGCATTTCCTGAACTTGACAGGTACAGGAAAAGCAGTTGCTAGGATTTCCTAGAAATCACTGACACATGCATCTCCTCTAAACTCCAACGGAGCGTGACTGGCTCATCCACTGATCTCATAAAGAAGACATGTTGTGTTGGGTTTGCAGGTAAGGCAGCTTTAACAGCATGCTTTGTCCTGAACTGTTTTTAAAGATCATTAAAATACACTGTAAGAAAGCTATGGAGCAATTAATTCAGCCTATTTTAGACATCTGCTTTAGAATCAGATAATTTCCTAAACTATCTCAATAACATTGACTAGATCCACATGGAGCACAACAGGAGCCTAGAGCAACCAGCTCGGTAAAGCTACGCTCCAGACTTCTATATTTAAGAGGGTGACCACCACTCCTACAGATCCACTCTCTGCCCCCATCAGCTGTGCAATCTCCAGCAAGTCACCTCCTCTCAGTGTGCTCATTCTGCCTCATCTATTTTTGAACTGAGCTCTTGAGAGGCAGGCGCCTGCCTTCTGCTAAATGTGTTTACCCAGCATATTTGATTTGGGGCTCTGGGCACTAATGCAATATGGAGACAAACAATAACTCTCTGCAAGCAATTTTGTCAGTTTTCCACAGAGACGAAGAGATCCACACATTCTTAAACATCTCTTCCATCTGTGAGGAATAATCTTGAAACACTGTCAAGAACAATGAACTGCTACAAATCGTAGCTCTTGCAATGACCCCAAAGTCTTCCCATAGCAGCAGACAGAGCTGACAGAAAACCACATAGCCAGAAATTCAAACACCCGAATTTCTTGAACTGCCATTATCCTCTGCTGTCTCTCCCACTAGATGGGGCTCAAACTCTAAGCCACCTTCTGTTCCTCAAGTACAGAAAACCTGAAGGATTTAAACATGGAGCATTTGAGCAGTAATGTCACAAAAAGGCATGAGAACAAGCCTTATGAAGAGGTTCGTTTTATTCCCTGTGTTGGGATCTCAAAATCACACACCTGCAATTAAGGACCTGAGCCTAACTCATTTGAGTGGCTGGAGAAGACAGTAAGGTAAACATCTACAATTTACAGAACAATGTAATGGAACAATGTAATTGAACAATTGAGACCAAACTCCCTTGAAAAGTCTCTGGATGAATTATGTGGAAAATGTGTATCCATGTATCAGCAGACACTGATAGACGGGATTAAAATGCTTCCATTAACTACATCTCTGGGACGCAGTTACCTTCACCATCTCTCCTGCACACAGCTCTTAAACCAAACTGGCACTGGATATCCCAGAGCAATAGTTTGCTGTGAACAGCACAAAGACCTTTCTTCCATCTCTCTCTTTTCAGTGACAAGATAGATCATAAAAATAAAGCTGATGGCAAGGAAACAGTAACACAAACTTGGAAAATACTATGAAAATAAGTTCCTCTGCCCTGGCCCTCCCTGTTCAGACCCACGTTAGTTTTTTAGCTGATTTCTGGAAAGCTCTATGGCTGTTCACAGTTTTTGTAAGTCTGAAAGACTGTCAATGATTCAAAACAAAAGTACATTTTTTTCTAAATGCCTGTGCAACTGGTTTTCTTTTCACCAGAAGTCTGATCACAGAAGTTTGTAGAAGACTTTTGATGAAATCTCTCGCTGCAGATACCTAAACGCATCAGCCCAACATGTGCCTGTGCTTCTGATTCTTTCCTTACCTGCAGTTATCGACAATGTACTGCACGATCTTGTCGAGCACTTTCTCGATCAGTGCTGTCCGAACCCAGATGTGTTTGATGGCCTGAGGTGTCAGGACAGGTGTTTTGCTTGTGGTTGATCCCTGCCTCTTAAGGGGCTCCTGCCCATTTGGCTGGTTTTTCCTGCAGAAGGAGACAAAGTAGTCAGAATTTAGTCTTTCCTCACAGAGAGCTCCCCAGTTGAAAAGCCACATGGAGAGGTGCTGGAATACACAGCGTGCGTCTGACCCCCATATCTCTATACCAGCTACAGGACTGTGTCAGTGCTCACTGCCACTGGGGTGTGGAGTTCAGTCAGTCCAGCATCAGGGATTTTCTGAAAATCATGGCTCTAATGATTTAGGATGCCTCAGTTCTGAATTATGAATAAGCCTGTAAAGATCATCTAATTCACAGACAGATGCTAAACAAGCTCTTAAGAAACCCCCCAAACAGGCCTATATTAGGTATCTCCAGCTGGGCTAGGTACTCACCTACCAAAAGTATCTTTTCCACTTCTGGAGCTTTAGGAAAAGCCCAACGTTTGAGCTCCTCCAAAACTCCCCCATACTAGGCTGAAATGAATAGGCTGTAAATCCATTGCAGAGCATACACCCCAAAAGAACGAAAAAACAACAAAATGCGAAGTGCAGCATGAAATAAGTAGCACCTAATGAACAGCAGTTTGCTTCTTATCAAACAAAGCTTCAGACTTAGTTGGGAAAACCACTGGGTAAAAAGAAGCTTCTTGTCTCCCAGCCTTGCCTGGTACCTTCAAACTGAAGGTAGCCACGGCCCTAAGGAGGCACAAAAGTTCCAGCAGGGATATTCCCACTGAGACCTGGAGGATTTGAGATAACACAGGCAGAGCTTTTCCAGGGACCTCCTGCCATACCATCATCAGGCAATGCTCGGGCACAGGCCCATCTTTTCATTTTCTCTAAAGCACCATATATAGCTATAGCACAGTCTGTGCTAGCGCCTTGGCACAGAGATCCTATCTCCTGCCACCCACAGAATGACAACGAGACAACTAAAGGATAAGCAACATCAAACTGAGAAACTAGAGCTATAGCAAATGAGCATCCAAAGCCAGCTGGGAGCTTGCTCACAGCCAAGACCCCCTGCTTGTTCCTGCGGCATCAGCCAGCACAGCAACAGGTCCACCCCAGAAACGAGGCCCTGGGCATGCTGTGAGAAGGTGTTAGCCGCATGAACAGGATGGTTTCCCCGTAGACCCAGTCTGCTGTGGCACTGCACAGCTTCTCGGGGCTGTGGCTGCAATGTGCATCACGCCAGGGAGCAGTTTTGTGCCTGCTCTACACGTGCTCTTACCCACGGTGGGTGTCTGGCCACAGCGAGCACCAATCTGCAGCAGAAAATCCATGTTCTCAAACGATCCCGTTCTTTGACAGCACTTGGGTCCCCTTTCAGGAAAGGGTTCAATTACAAAGACTAAATACATTAGTTGGGGGCTCTTTGAGTGAGATCTGTAACTCCCCTCCACGTTTACAGAGTCCCTAGTCCTCCACAAGGCCATGATGGAACCTCTACAAGGCAACATACACACAGTGACAGTCCACAACTGTGCATTGTGAAATACACACCACCACTGACATCCGAGGAATTCAGATGTGTTTAATTGCATCCTGAACAGGGGCTTTCTTAAGCCACAGCCTCAGGAGCAATGAGACTGCGACAGCACTTCTGCCTCATTTTATACGTTCAACGAAGCGAGTCCACCCCCTGCAGTATTTCCTAATAGAGTCTCTTTGCTGGGCATGTTTTCTACAGCACTTAAAATCTGTGGTTGTTAATAGCTGAAAAACACACAGAATTTCTCCAAGAGAAACCACAGAATTTAAGTTCAGTTGCTCCTTTCTGTGAGAGGACACAGCCCAAGGTCTCTGGTGGTTAGAGCAGGATTCACGTGGGCTCTTAACCGAGGAGGAAGGTGGAGAATTTTCAGTAGAAAGCTTCCTTCTTCCCAACATTTAAAAAACTAAAATTAATAAAATCCCAGTCTATATCAGTAGGCACACAATTTAAAAATATGTCAAAAATAGATATGTACCTACATAACATGTATTTAAAAAACTAAAATTAATAAAATCCCAGTCTATATCAGTAGGCACACAATTTAAAAATATGTCAAAAATAGATATGTACCTGTTAAAAACTACACAACAAAGTTTTATAATGACAAGTCTAATAAAGATAAATGCCAGAAAATTACAGAGCAAACTAAGTGCTAATTCAAAGAACTGTCAATAATCGAAGACTTCAATTCAACACATTGAAATGAAGGTCTCTTGACAAAGCCTTTCATACAGCAAGTTGATACAGATGCCTTCATTGCTGACCACTGCTTCTTGAGCTTATCCTGCTTTCTATCAGTCTTTGTATCCATCAATTTAACTATTTCTACAATAATACCCACAACTCTTCTGTTACTGGCTTGGCAAGGAGCATGCCAAACCAGCTTTTCCAGTGAGTCTGTGCTTCAGTTCCTTTTGCCACCCACATCCCTTCCCACCAACAGTCCAAAATGGTCCCCATACCCTGGGTGTGAGAACTCTCTAAAATCACTAATTATTCACTTTTGTTGCATGGCGTGGGCTGGACATGCTGATCCACTGCACTGGGAAGAAAAACAAAACACCAAAGACCCAATTCCCAAACTCTGCCCCTTTGCTAAAACATTTGCCTTAGAGTTACAGACACTAAAGACACGAAGCTTTAACAGACATGGCCAAGCCAGACCCTTTTGCGTGTACCGAGCCGTCTCCTCATCCTCCCCACGCTGCACACATGTGGTATGAGTTTTGCTGATACTCAGACCTCAGCCTCACCTGCTTTCCACCTGCTGCTGCAGCTCCTGCACTTTCTTGCACACCTCTCCAGCTACCGCGTAGGTCTTGCCAACCTTGGTGAAGAGGGCGGCCACCTTGTCGGTCCGCAGGAAGCCGGCAGCCCTGCGCTTCAGCATGTGCAGGAGACAGGCTTCCACAACCCCTGCAAGGAAGGGAAGGAGACAACGTTACGGGTAGGACCCTCCTTTGGTCTTCTCCTCGGTGAACACCCCTGCAAACACCCACCGCTCAGGTGTGGAGTCAAGAGAAGAGAAGAGGGGTGAAAAGACAGACAGACTGTGGAGTCAAGAGAAGAGAAGAGGGGTGAAGAGACAGACAGACAGACAAGATAGACAGACAGACTAGATCTCAGAATCAGATGAAGCACATGTCTGATCTGCAGCAATACACACCTTGTAAGGTGCAATAACATCAGTGCATAAATGAACCAAAGGACTGAAACATCTCCCAGTATTTTCCACTCCATTTTACACGTCACCGTGAAAGAATTCCCGATTCTTCTGAAAATTAAGCCAAAGGCAAAACCTCTTCCCAACTCCTCGTGGCAGACCCATGTCCCCCAACTCAAGATATAAGAAGTTAGGAATCTGCTTTCACTGATGATCTGCTTTGAGCGGAGGCTCCTATTTATCTTTGTGAGTTGCTGCATCCATTTCTCCCACTTGTATTTGTCCATATGGTCTGGTGTTTGCAATGAAAAGGACTGCTTTTCAAAAGGTCATACTTTCCTATTATTTGCTGCTCGTTTTTAAAATTGTTGCAGGAATTTTAGCACTGGCCTGTGAAGTGTGATACTGGCAAGAAGGCACCTCAGGTAAGTTATAGGCAGTTGAGGTTCAAACCTGATCTCCAAATGCAGAACATGAGAAATTGTTATATTTAGCCAACTACTGGCGTGCAGTCAATTGCTGGGTATCATTTCATCTACCTAGTGACCCCATAGCGTCTTGATTTGCAGAAGTAAAAAAAAAGAAGCAAGATAAACACAAATAAAAAGCAAAATAAAGCTCAAGCCTTCCCTGTCTATCAGCTTTTCAACCGAGACTGCAGGTGACTCATCCAATCACGACTGTCCATAAAAAGGTATGAGGGAGAACAGACCGGTTCATTCACAGGGAGGGGAAAAACCCCAACTTTATCTGCAAGGTGTGCTCTCTGACAGCCAGGCAGGCAGGAGCCCTGCCCCAGGCTCTGAACCCAGCACCCGAGCGCTGCTCTCCCGTGTCTAACAACAGCAGGCTGCCCTGCGGTGCATCGCGGGTAGAATTGCCACATTAAATTTTCGTTACGAGTAACAAATGGCACTCCATCTGCTCCCATACACACTGCATCCCGCCCAAGGTTCAGCAGCTCGTTTTGAAAGAAGATGGTATTTTGTTGTGCTTTAAGCCCGACACTTTCAGGTGCTGAGTGTTTCCTGAAGAACCTCCCTCCTTATCATCCTCAGCAGCCTCCAAATCCTGTGGTACCTGAAAGACGCGCTTGAGAAGGACCCATCCTCACCCTCCAGTCCCTGGAAACTAACCTCAGTCCTATGTACCCTATTTCTTTGCTTTGCAAGGCTGAGGAACGAGCTGCTGAATGAACAAAAAAATTAAGAGAGGCATTTATGAGGTATTAATAACTTCACATTTTGTGTCTTATCACACTGGAAAAAAAGAAAACTCTAATTGGCTTCCTGCTATCGCTCCCCACACAAATTAACCTAATGTGTGCTCAGAAAGCACAAACATTTGCTCTTAGAGTGGAGAAAACAGCACTAGAAAAACAAATTGGAAATGCAATATGGGGTAACCATGCCACTATTCTGCTTTTGACTGTGAAGGCAGATGTTTTTAAGCTAAGTAACATTAGATAAAATCTGTCAGAAGATAAAATTTCCATGGAAAGCCCTAATTTTCCTTTGGGACAACCAGTGGAATTAAATACTGATGGCTCAGGGATTTGGGACTGCTCCTTTTTAACAGTTTTTATCGAGATACAACTAACCTGAGTTAGCAAAGTCAAATCCTCTAATGGTACACCCTGAATTCATTCTCTGTAAAACGGAGAAGTCAACATTCTCTCTTCTCCTCCTTCCTAGTCCCAAGTTTATTTAGACAGCCAATCCTTTGGAATTAATTTGATACATTCCCTTATTGCACAACCAATACGAGAACCAATGCCACTGAATCTCCAATTTAATCTTAAAATAAAACAAAAAATATGTACCATCTTAACAGCCTCTCCTCAAGCTGCCTAATCTGGAACATGTCACGCAAACGCTGCCGGCAAACAAGCCGAGAGCAGAGATCGTGATGCACTGTGCTGCCACCAGCTTCTGCCAAGGCTCCAACAACGGGGACAATTCAAACCAACACAGGAAAACCCTACACACACGGAGCCACCCCCCCAGCAATGAGTAACTGGGGAGGTTGGCAAGCCCTGTGGAAAGCAGCACAGCTGGTGAAATGAAATGGCACGGATCATGTACCTACTGATAATGAAGGATTTGGGGTTTTTCTCTTGTTGCTGGGTCTTTTTTTTTTTTTTAAATAAGAGCATTTGAGCATTCACAGCATTCAGTTGATGTCTTCAGCATAACTGCTCATGCTACGCAAATCCACACTCTCTTCTGTTTCCAGGGCAAATGGACAAAGTTGCTGCTGTGTTAGAAAGCGGACATAAGACATACTGGCCCATCTGTGTTATTCCCATGTTGCTGTAACCCAAATAAAGCCTCACTTAGTGGTTCAACAAGGTATTCATACACTTTTACACCCACTATCTCTCTGAGAAAAACAGTGTGATTCACTTTTCTTTGTGATCCCTCATATAATTGCTATTACCTTCCAGTTTCACTTTAAGCAGGACTGACAAACTGCTGCTCGGATGGATAAATAGAGTATTCTAATCCTAAAAAACTTTCTGTGTTAGACTAAGGTCTCACTGCACCAAGCACTGTATAAACACATACTGACAGACAAACACATATAGGTAAGACTGATAAAAAGTATAAGAAAATATGTATAAATTTATCCCCCTTTTTGCAGTGAGAGAATGCCATTCCTGAATACTTAGAAGACTTATCATCAGGAATTGAGGGTCAAGGCACTTATCAGCATTTCTCTGGAATTAGGTTTATCTGGAGGCAGAGGAGAAATGTGAGATGGACAGCAAGTCACTGTGTTTGTCCTTTCCATCTCATGCCCAAGAAGAGCACACCACTAACCCCTCCATGATCAGGACCATTGTGCCAGCCCCAGGCTCCCCTGGAATGACCGACCCAGCGTTCCCAACCGCTGTTTGCAAAGAGGGTCCTGCCCCAGCTGAACCCAGAGGTGTCCCAGCCCAGGAGAACCAAAAACCAGACTCACTGAACTCTTGCAGGGCAACAGTGGAACATGTCAATGGCCTCGGCTTCTGCAGGCTCCTCTTCTCTCAGGATACAAGCCTGATGGCATCAACCAAGGCTACTGAGCAGCAAGTCTGACACTGCTACCCACGCTGCTGTACTTCCCAGCCAGAACTGCTGCCTCAGAAGACAGCCACCCCCTTGCTTCTTCATCCATACTGTGCACAAAATCCTAACCACGGTGCTATTCCCTGGAAGGAGGACCAGGACACGTGGGCACATCCCTGCTTGACCCCTCTCAGTCATCGCCTTTTACCAGGAACCACCCGCTGCAGTCAAATGACATCAGGAGGTGGCAAAGGCCATGCCTGTGGGGACACACAAGTGGGAGCTGATGACACCTCTGCGACCCAAAGGAAGAGGGAGCCTCCCCCTTCCAACCACGGCGATTCTGTGACTCTGATTTAGCAGAAGCCACAGTGGGGACAAGAACTGCTCGGTGGCCCAAGGGGTTCTGCAAGGCCAGGGAGAGCAGGACAGGAAGGACAAAGCGGGATGACAGCATGGGGATGTTCTTCACGTGGCAGCCATAGATCCTGCCGAGCAACCATCACAACAACGCTTAACCCAGCTGCTGCTTCGCTCTGTCTTTCAATTAGAAATAAAGAAAATGAAAAAAGTAAGGCAGCTTTCCGGATGCCTGGAGCAATGCAGCAATAATTGGTTCCAAATCTTAAATGAAGCAACCTGCCTTCAAAAATAACTGCAAAGAAGTGCATCGCTGTTGCTTAGGAAACAGGCTCTCTTCCCACCTTCACTGTTGGGGTTTTTTCTTTCTTTAAAACAATAAAATATTAATGAAACAAATTTAGTGAAAAGCACAGCAGGCACAGCTTTAATTATTAATAAATGTTGCAGCTGCCACAGAGGGCAATTTCCACAGTGCCTGTCCCTAAAGCCCCAATATTTAATTATTCCATTGTGACATTTCTCATCACAAGGACTTGGCGTAACATTAGTCCCCAGCTGCCTGTAATACACGTGTAGCAGTTATTTGCAGGGGAAGAGACACTGGAATTAGCTGCTGGATTGCCTCAGAACGTATGTTCCATGGGATGAGATCAATGCACCATGTCCAGCCCCACGTGCAAAGCACCCTGAGATGTGGGTACAGGTTACAGTCCCAGCCCGGGCCACCTTCAAGTCACATTAGGACCTTGACAGTGGTGCTGTAAGGGCTTTACAGAGAGAAAATACAAGGTATTTGAGGACGCGTCCTTACCTCTTCTCATTCTGTTTCTCTTCTGTTTTAAACCAATCATAAAAATTAGATTTACTATTTTCTAAGCACTGGATTGAAACAGTAAAAGTACACTTTTTACAGTGAAATAAAACAGCATTTACAAACTCTTCTTCCTGAAAACCTCTACATCTCCCCGGGAAAGCCTCTCCTTTCCTGTGCAGGAAGGCCTCCCCGAGCCCATCGCTCTGCGGTGAGGCTGCCCATGCCTCTTGCATTCTGGTCATCTGCAGGGCAATTAGCAGCGTTTCTTGGCCAGCTCTCTGATTTAAATCAATTCTCCGTGGCAGGCTCTCGGCATTCATCCCATATAGGCTTGTGGGAATAGGTGAGAACGAATGGAACTAACTCAGTTACCCTGAATATAACATACCCCCCTCCTGTTCTGCTGGACGGTCTCAGAAATTACAAGAAATTTTAAGAGAAAAGGGTACGGTGTGTACAAACACTCCCCTTCCCCATTCCCACACTGCACCAGGATACATCTGCCATCAGTTGAAATCAATAT